GCCGATTGTTAGCTCCAAGGCTCTGTGTGCCACCCTCTGAGCCGCTTACTTGCAAATATAATTGATCCATTGATAAGAAAGTCATTTTCATATGTCCTTAGCAATGTGCTCGCTATAATCACCAGCAATGGTAAACATACATGGAATACTTCGAAGAAATTGCATTAGAATCCACATCACTAAAGCCAACTCTATGGCTGAGATATGTTAATAGCATTAGACTGAGATAGATAGATAGATAGATAGATAGATAGATAGATAGTATTAGACTGAGATAGATAGAGAAAGAGAGAGATAGACAGACAGTTAAATAGGTAGCATTAGACTGAGATAGATAGATACTCCGAGTGGAAATAATGTAAATATAGCTTTATTTCCAATCGGAATATTTTCCTTGTTTTTGTTGTTCTCTCTCTCTCTCTCTCTCTCTCTCTATATATCTATCTATCTATCTATCTATCTATCTATCACTGTCTAATGTAGCTAATGAGCATGAGTAAATGGATTGCGGAACAAAGTTTTGAATATGGAACAAAAATTTATTATGAGCTACAAAGGTAAGGAAATTGTGGAAACTACGAAGGGATATGTCACATAAAAAGAATATCACACAAAGAAGATTTTGAGTCCTCCTAGCCACGGTTGTTAGCCAGTGTAGGAGAAGAACAACTCTAAATTTAAAATGGTACGGGGCTCTAGCTAGGTGAAAACTGTTCGCCATTGAATGTAGGGCTGGTTTGTGGATTCGATGATCAAGTCTGGGATCGAATAAAGAAACTATTGAATCGTAGATGTAGTTCTGAACAATGACATCTGTCATATTTCAGGCCACGTCATAATCCCGTCCTCCGGCATTGACTATTTTTCTCCCCCTGCCAAAAAAAAAAAAAAAAATACCATGAACACACAACTGTGGCCTTCGCTTGTTTTTTTCCCCACGATGAGTTTCGTTTCTCGCTTGCATTTGTGTGCACAACACTGGGAAAGTCCTGGTATACACTGACAAGGAAACTGAAAGAGAAATAATGCCATGACGAGAAAAGATATATTTCATTATTGATTTAATGATTCACCTAGCACGGTCTGATAGGTAGGTAAATGATACTTGGAGCATCTTCGTTGCTAATTCGGTTTTCTTTCACGACAGACTAACGGACCAAATCTTCCCTTCAGCCAGTGAGAATCCGACTCTATAATTCTCTTAATCACTTAAGTTGTTCTAAGGATGAAGAAGGCGATATTCTCCCTTTGGGGGAGATATGTTACATGGGTCATATGACAGCTGCTTAATGACGTCACTCCATACTGGGATGAAAAAGCGGCAGACAAATTTCAATTCGTGTATATGGCAACCAAACTGTAAGGTTGTTTTCTTTAGCGCGGCCCCGCCCCCGTAGCCCAGGCAGAGGCTAAGTCTGCCTCCCAGCAGCTTACAAGTCCATGGTACCGTTTCCCTTTGCGAACATATATTTCCCAGATGTAGAATGGAAATCCAGCTTGCAGTCCTCAATTTGGGAAAACCCAAGTCTCGCCGTTTCCCGTTCGTGAAATATGTCATCGCCTAGGAAAGATGAATCCGACCCGTTTGAATCTGGAATCCTAAAAATGACTTCTCCAAGTACAGGAGCATCTCCATATTATATGTAAGACCCTTCCGTTTTGTTTCTCCTTACACACTGTTTTACTGTGTAGATATATTTGGTATATTATTATTCGCATGGGACACGTGTAAATATGTATATATAGTTTACATAGCCCGTTTGAATCTGTATTTGTAAACGTGGCTTCTCCAGACACAGCAGCATCTCCATATTATATGTAAGACCCTTCCTTTTTGTTTCTCCTTACACTCTGCTTTACTATGTAGATATATTATTCTCCGTATTATTTTTGTATTTTTTTTTAAGCATTACGCCCCGAGCAAGACGTGAAGTCACTAGGATGAGGGGGGGTGCAGAAGATTTGAAGCGAGAGCAGATAGGAGTAATAGAAGAAAGGATGAGGAGATGGATAGTGGGTAGATCAAGGTATTTATTATTCTTAGTAATATAAATGTCTCTCTGAGAACAAAACATGTTGTCGTTCTTTTTCCTTTCAGCCATTCCGTTCGGCCTGTGAAATATTGTTGTTATTAAATACCGGATATAATAATGCTCATAACGGGGGAGAACAAATATTTCTTCCAGGCGTTCCCGTTACACTGGTGACCACGACGAGATATTATTTACCCGATATGTGATATTATTATCACCCATTAATATCTCGTGTCTAAATCTAACCGTAACTCACATAGGCTATGAAAACAATTTCTGCCGAGTGGCTTTTGAATCAGAAGCTTTTCATTTAATTTGTTTCATTTCCTTCCCTAAATTGGTTATCACATGAAGAGCTGATGCTTAAATTCCACATTGACTTCGTGTATATTCTAAGCATTCTGCTGGGAACCAATTGTATCATTGTACTCCTCTATGTGTTTTTTTAATCTTCAAGGGATTCTTCTTTTCACTGAGATAATTTCGAAAAAACAAGCAAAAAACAAATGTGATATAGATAGTCTGGGAAACACACACACACACACACACACGTATATTTATTCTTTTAGTGAAATTGGAGTGGATTTGAGCAGGGAAATTAGATCAGAGCATTTTTGTTTACTGAGGGTAAAACCTGATCTAGGGCAGGAGATGTACCCATTGGAACTGGGTCATTAGTAGACAATGGAAATGGTCGAAATAATTTTCATTGATTAAATCTTAGAGCTGAGTAAGCAAGGAGGACCTTTTGAATTCACATGATTTTGGTTGAAACAGCCAAAACCCCCGTGATAATCACGTGCGAAGTAGTAGGGCCAAGGTTCTGTTGTAACCAGCCGGATTTTTCTATATAAATGCCTAGTTGTGCTGAAGAAGAGGCAGTCGGAAAAGAGAGAAGAAAGAGAGAGACGGTAGAGAAAGACGGAAGAGGCAGACGGAAGAGAATTATCCCGGGCAAAAGTTGGGTTAGAGACAATGGAGAGTCGAGTTGGAGACTGAAGAAGGGGAGAAAGTGGCGTCAGAGATTGGAACGAAGCGTCTGCTAACATGTACTGTTGATATAATACCGCTGCTTCTGCTACCACGAATATTACTACTACTGTTACTACTGATAAGGAGGAACGCCACTATAAACTTTAAGCCGCGCACAGAAATCTTATCCCCCCATCGCAAGAGTTGTATATCGTTCTGAGACGATTTAACAACAAGTTAATCATAACAAACTCTCTCTGTTCAGGATCCAATGTATGCGTTTTTACGTCATTTACTTTTCTTTTCTGTAACCCGTTTCTTTTCTATACTATTCTTTTCTGCTATATAAAAGACATTAACAATTCAATCATTGAATAGTTGTTTCTCCGGCTTTCTGCAGATATTAATTTTTTTTGCTGCATTTTTCTTTTTCTTTTTTTTTTTTTTGTCTACATCTTCAGTCAACCGTAAATGGATGAACATCATTTCTCCTTTCTGGATCAAACCAAACACAACGTGGGCAGGATTAAACCAGCGGACCAGTTGAATAATCTACGAATCCTCAGGGGACCTACGGCCACTTCCTTAAGTTCAGTTAGGACCGCGTAAACACCTCAACCCAGAGAGTAAGACGTCGGAGTTTGAGGTGCTGGGGCGAAAGTGTTAAACAAACAGAAAAATGGTAATACATTGGTGCAATAACAACTGCCTTCAATCCCGTAACAAATTTTCCAGGACCTTTTTCCTTACTATAAGCGCTAGAACTTTCGACTGTCCTCCCCAATATTAAATATAAGTCTCCTTTTTGTTTCCGTTTTCTCTAAAACTTTGTCGTTGCTAACATGTTTAGCTCATGGTGTTCTCAGCATGTTTCTGTAGAACCACATTTCTATTACTTCAAGTCTGTTCTTTATCTGTGAGGAGATTGTCCAGCATTCATTGCCATATAGGCGAACTGATATTATGTAATAGTTCAATAGTTTTTTCTTTGCTTCTAACAAAAATTTCCTGTTTCTTAATACTTTGCTTAGCTTTTGGATGGCATCTTTCGTAATCCCAATGGGCCTTCGGATACCAGTATCACATTTTTAGTCCTCTGTTCCCAGATACTTAAATTGTTCTACTTGTTTGATACTGAATGCAAAGAAATCGGACTGAAAAAGAACTCGGGTCGACTATTTCTCTTTCCGGTTCGTTAAACGTTAGACCAGACACACATCCTTAAGTATACAGTTATTGTCAAATGTTAAATATGAAGAAATCTTTTATTTTTACCTAATAGACCAAACAAACTGTTTTTATGCCGTCCATTATAAAACTATGCTGTAAAGCAAATATATTTGTAATGGGACTTTCTTTGAAAGCTTCGGATATAGCGTTTGTTCGACTGAAAAGACCAAGCCTTGATACAACAATTCGTGTCTTGGAATCACTGCGCCGACCAACAGAGAGGTGGATATAAAAGCTTGTATCTATAATACGTCCATCGGCCAAATGCAACGCCACCGCCATTATTGAATTAAATGATTCCTTCGGAGATGAAAAAATTGATACACACCCAAGTAACGATGAGGACATTAGTCATTAGACGAACAATTGATACCTCGTCTTGTAAATCTAAAAACATACGTTTCCATTAACCTTGCTCGTTCGGGAATAAGATGGCGGAAAAATATTACGAGAAATACTTCCGTTCGATTCGATGGCTTTGTGCCAGTTAGAAAACTTTAACCGCTTGTACACGTCTTAATAAGTTGATTTCTCTTTTTCGAAAAGCTAATGGTTAGAGAGAAACTTTAAGTAGCCCTGGTAAGTGAATAAGTGAACGAAGTCACTGTGTGATATGTACTAGACTTGTTGCAATGAGCACAAAGGTTTGTCCATTAGTAAACTATTAAAGACACGAACACGTTTCCCTATTTCTCAATAGTGTCTTTGAATCGGGGTATTCTTTGTCATTATGACCGATAGAAACACCTGAGAAGTTTCCCATTTATGGAGGATTTGTCTTTTCTCTTACGCTCTTTAACTCTCTCTCTCTCTCTCTCTCTCCTCTCTCTCTCTCTCTCTCTCTACTCTCTGATTATCTCTTTTATTTTCTTTCTCTCTCTTCAAATTATTTTCTCTTTGTTATTCTCTCTTTCTTGCCAATAACCTCCCTTCTTTATTTCTCTTGATCTCTTTTTATGTGAACGCGCTGTTTTCCGCTTCTTCCTTTCTTTCTCCCTCCTTTTTATACAACTCTACAGATTTCATTCTCTCTTTCTCTTGCTAATTATTTCTCTTCCCTATTTTACAATACCTGCTCTCTTCTTCACGTTCTCTTTCTCTATTTATCCTCTCTCTCACTCTCTCTATCTCTCAATCTCTCTCACCCACACATATACCCCCCACACACACTCTCTATCTCTCTCTCCTTGCTCTATCTCTCTCTCTTCGAATTTATTCTCTTTTTCGTTGTACCCTTTTCTTTTTTTCTTCCTCGCTATTCATCTCTCTATTTTACGTTTCTCTTTCCTTCATTTCTGTAAAAATGTCTTCCTTTTTCTTTCGTATTTCTCGATTTATCTTTCAGTCTCTTTTAAAAGTTCTTCTCGTTTTCATTTCTACTTCCTTGTCTATCTTCTTACTTCTTCTCTGTTACACATTGACTTCTCTCTTCTTCATTTTTTGTAAGACTGCTTTATTTTTTTTCTCATTCTATCTATCTATCTATCTATCTATGTCACACTATATGTTTATATGTAGATATAGTAGCATAGCTGGAGGCCCTCTACATTAAAACAAAGCAACCCACACTCAATAAAATTAGATTTCAAACTAGTCACAACACATTACATTGCATCTAGACATATGATTCTCTTGTTAATATCAGGTCATCCCATAAGTTCTGTCCGAATTTTAACTTTTTGTTAAAATGAACGAAATTTAAAGAGTATTTCATAATGTCTAATGGAGTTGAACATTATTTTTATGTTTAGATGCATTTAAACTGACCAAATTTTATTTCGGAGAAAAACAAAATTAAATTTTGTTTGATTAAAACCCTGCTAACATTGAAGTATCCAAGAATTATTTGAGACACATAATGCTTTATGAGTTCAAGAAAGGAAACTCAGCAGCCGAAGTAGCTAGAAACATTCACTCAGTTTATGGAGAGGAATGTGTGAATGAAAGAACTTGCAGAAGATGGTTTCCAAAATTCAGAGGTGGAGATTTTACCCTTGAAGATAAAGATCAAACCGGGCGTACAGTTGAGTTTGAGGAAAAGCTTCTTGAAGCAGCCCTTGAAAAAAATCCTGCTTTATCAGTTGAGGAATTGGCAGTGATTCTCAGTTCAAACCATACAACTGTTCATCGTCATCTTCAACAACTTGGAAAAGTTCCTAAACTTGGAAAATGGGTGCCTCATGAATTGTATGTAAACAACCTCAAATCCCGAGTTGACATCTGCTCTTCTCTCCATTCTCGCCAACTTGTTTCAACTTTTTTGGATAGACTTGTGACTGGCGACGAAAAATGGATCTTTTATCGAAATGTTAAGCGTCGTAGTGGTTTGGTAAAGGGGAAGGACCCCAGCCACAGCCGAGAAGGAAACTTCATGGGCAAAAGGTTCTTCTTCCAATCTGGTGGGATCGCCAAGGAATAATCCACTTTGAATTCTTACCACCTAATGCAACAATCAATGCTCAAATATACTGTCAGCAATTAAAGCGTTTGAACCAAGCTTTGAGGAAAAAAAGACCTGCTCTAGTGAATCGAAAAGAGGTGATGTTTCATCAGGACAATGCGCGACCCCACACGGCAAGAATCACGTCACAAAAGATCGAAGAACTTGGTTGGGAGAAAATTCCTCATCCACCTTATTCTCTCGATCTTGCTCCTTCAGCCTACCATTTGTTTCGTAGCTTACAGAATCATTTGGAAGAAACCGCTTTTGTAACACAGGAAGAGGTTAAAACTGACATTTGTGAGTTCTTCGAATCAAAACCAAAAGAATTTTACAGTAATGGAATTAGTAAGCTTGTTAATAGATGGAAGGAAGTCATAGATAATCAGGGAAAATACATTGTTGATTGAATCTGTAATTAAATGTAACATTTGGTCACTTGTTTTCTTTATTCAAAATTCGGACAGAACTTATGGGATGATCTGATATTTTGGCCTGTCGCGTTCAGAGAATCGCATCTTGAACTTATGACTTGCGTCTGCTATTCTGCGACCGTTATCGTCGCAGAGCAATCTTCTATGTCGACATAACAAAATATTATCTTTGATGGTGAATATATTTGTTTAAATGTCCATATAACCACTCTAAAGATGGCTCTTGTGAGCCGAAAGCTTAGATCAAGGACCATCTAAATAAAAAAAATATCCAAATATTAGACATTTTTTGTCTTTATTTTCACCCGAAATTAAAGCAAACATACGAACATTTGAATGGCTCATGATCAAACATAATAGACATTCACTACCAGTTATATATATATATATATATATATATATATATATATATATATATATATATATATATATATATATATGTATGTATGTATGTATATATATAGGGTATATTTGGCAGCATGTTTCATTGAATAATTTAGACAAGTTTTGTCTACTTATTTTCTATTGGATCCTTCCATATTTACAGCCTCTTCACAAGTAAAAATATTTAATTTTCAGATGAACACAGCAATTCTGCCTTTGAAAATTATGAAAAGTACAATAGTCGTCTTCAAACAAACAACACACTGATGATGACATTGTGCTAATGTTGAAAGTACTCGGAATAAATAATATGTATCAACACGGTAATTTTCTCTCTTCTTTTAATAACGACACAAAAAGCTTGTCCGTGAATATGAAATAATCCAATTGAAAATAAGTAGACAAAACCTTTGTAAATGATTCAGTGGAACATGTCTCAATATATATATATATATAAATATATATATGTGTGTGTGTGTGTGTGTGTGTGCGCGTGTGTGTGTGAGATAATAACAAATATACATTTCTTCCTCACCGATAGCACAATCATGTGGTGATGATCAACAAGTTTACGGTCAAATCACGCTGAAACACCGGTTCTCGTTCGATCACCGAAGTTAAGCATCGTAGAGCCAGGTCAGTACTTAGATGGGGGACCGCTTGGGAACACCTGGTACTGTAAGCCCCCAAAGTCCAACCCTTACCTCACAGTCGATGGGTGGGTGGGTGTAAACGGTAGTGTCAGAGCTATGCCGACCGGAACTTCGTTCCTGGTAGGGCCACCCAAGGCAGACAGGTCGGACACACACGCCGGCTAACAAGGGCTCTGGTGAAAATCCAAGGAGCGTCTGCATCGGTAAGCGGCGGCTTCTGGTCGTTCCTGTCTCTGCGTCTGTGGGAATCCCGCGGCAAGCAAGAACGTTATTCGAGTAGGCCTGGGTACCCTACTTCTGTAATTTATCCCAAGAATCTTCTTCTCATAACAGGAAGAAGCCGGCTCAATCCGCCCAGGGTGAATGCCGCATCAGTACAGTACAGTACAGTTCAACAAGTTACCAGTTTTCAAATTTGAAATGACGACTGCATTGTGCATAAAACTCAGAGTTGTGCTACTGTCATATAGGAAGAAAATGAGCAACTACCGACACCGAGGTTCGAGCGTGACACTCTGGACTTATTAATATATGTTTTCCGCCAGGTCTATAAATTGCGGTGTCAGGCTACTGACTGTAGTGACTATTGAGTGGAACTATCCAGTCGAATTAGTGTGGATTATTGTGCGTCGATGATTTGGGTTTTGATTTAGAATTTACCAGATGTTAAGACGAGCCGCGCTACTAACAAAGTATTCACTGAAATGGTTAATTATATTTGGTTGACTTTTACTTCTTTACACTATTTGCATTACACGGATTATTGTCCTCATCTTTGTCGCCAAATTTATTACAACGTTTCGGCCGTTGTACGCTCCGGCCTTCTTCAGGTGGTTGGAATGTCGAAGTGAACCCTTTGTTTCGCTCACTGGAGTAGACTGTTCTAGTTCTACGTGCCATGTTTAATGGATGTCAGTTATCAGTTATCTCCTGTTAATTCCCATCTAAAAGTTCTCCACTACCTTAACCGGGTATTGAACTCACATTCTTTGGGTCCTGTCACTGGATCTAACCAACGCCTTTATCCACTTTACTTCTTTGTTCTTGTTAAGTATTTATTTGCATTTGTAATTAAATACTGTTTAATTTTAGCATTGAAGTCTTGAGATATACTTAATTATTAACGGTCACAAAAGCTAGAAAGCTAGAAGAAAAAAAAATATTTATTATCAATATAAATGATAACTCTTTTATTATACACCGAGCAGTATTTTATTAACAACGATATTTTATATTCATATCTATATGACCTGCAACGTTTTCCTTTTTATCATTCTCTTTTTTAATCTTTTTTTTCTTATCGTTTTCTCTTTCGTCTCTATTACATGCTGAGTTCATTTTCAATTGGAGAACTTCTTTCTCTTCTCTCTCTTTCCCATCCAGACCCACTCTTTGTTTTTTTTTTTTGTTTCAGTCATATTATTTCCTCTACATAGCCGCACTCTCTCTCTCTCTCTCTCTCTTTCTCTCTCTCTCTCTCTCTCTCTTGTACTCACTTTCTTTAATAATATTTTTTTTCCGTTTTACTTCTTTGTCTCTTTCCTCGAATTCTGAATCGATCAGCTTCTGTCTGTTTTGCCTTTTCTCTCAAATATTCGCAAATTATTATTGCTTTTCCTCGTTTACTGTTGTGTATGACACCAAGTCATCATTTTATTTCCGTCTATAATTCTATTCGGTTTCATTCACCTTAAGCTACATTGCTACTGGCGTGCCTATGGGTCTATGATTTAGTTTTATATACTTGCCTATTTTTCGTTATCAGACAGAAAGTAATTCTTTCTCGCATTTATTCCAATCATGGCACAATAAATAGTAGCACTCAAAATATTTTAAAATACACCACACCTCTATCTTAATATATATGAATATTATCTTGAATCAGGGTGTAATAATTCACTAGTTATCACCATCTCTTCTGGAGTTATAGATAGATCACGTTGAAACACCGGTTCTATCTATCTATCTATCTATCTATCTATCTATCTATCTATCTATCTATCTCTCTCTCTCTCTCTATATATATATATATATATATATATATATATATATATATATAAACCAATCTATTTTGGCCTCTTCATTATCTTTCTATCTATTTAAGTCTCTTAACTATCAATCTATCCACCCATCTATCTGTATATCAATCTATTTCAGCCTCTTCATTATCTATCTATCTATTTTTCAATCTATGAACACCGGTTCCCTTACCATCACCGTAAGTTAAGCAACGTCGAACCTGTTCAGTATATAGATAGGTGACCACTTCGCAATACCAGTTACTTCGCTGTCAGTTTGGATGTGCTGGTGGTGTAATGGATAATGGCTCGGAATTGTTAATTGGAAAGCCGAGTTCAAATTCCCGTTAGGTTCGTTATATTAACTTACGCTCAAATACCCTTGGGAAAGGTATTAATCCACCTCTTCTCTCCTCAGCTATGGGTTAATTAGTAAAAAAAAATACCATTATTTCCTACAAAAAATCTTACAATATAAAACTATTTTTTGTCTTTAGATAAGCTGTAAAGATTTAATAAACCGTGAAAAACAAATCAAGCAATAATTCCTCTTATTCACTTTATGTATTTTACTAATTGTATGTACCGTGTCCTTTTGGATAATGCAGATAGTCGGAATATGAAATATTATAAATATGCTGTTAAATGAACAAATGGAGCGTTTACTAAAAAAAAAAAAAAAAAAAAAAAAAACGAGTATCCACAAAAAATAACAGCGATAATAATCTGTTCGATTAATAAAAAATCCATTCTAAAAAATTCTATTTGTTTACATATGGATACGAAACGGCATGCAGACATGAATATTTCTGGAGATTCTTTGACGAGAGAAGTGTTGCTTAAAGGTACAATTCCTACCTCGCTTGAATAATTCGTTCTTTGTATCGCAGTTGGTCAGAATGTAATGGGTTTAGAGATTTCCCAGAGGGACGCAGGTTCGAATCCCGCCAGTAAGCGTAAATTATTTTTCCGAACATTCAGGTCAACAGATAAAATCTATATAAGTCTTTTAATTATCTATGTATGTATCTAAGTCTCTTAATTATCTATGTATATGTATGTAATTATCTTAATTATTTACCTATCTATCTAACTTAATGTTATATATATATATATATATGTATATATATATATATATATATATGTGTGTGTGTGTGTGTGTATTCCGGCCTCTTCATTATCTTTCTATATATCTAAGTCTCTTAACTATCTATTTAGTCATCCATCTATCTATATATCAATCTATTTCTTCCTCTTCATTACGTGAGCGTAAATTATTCTTCGATAATTTTTTTTTTCGAACATTCAGGTCGGCAGATAAAAATAAATAAATATACACTTTATTAAATAAACGAAGACCCTGTATATGTGTTTCCGCGTGACACATATCCATTGTACCATATTCGTCTTTGTTATTTATCACCCTCAGTAATCGATACTCTTCAATTTAATATCTGAAAAGATTGATAATATCCTCACTCAACTTCCCTCGGTTAGCCTTCATATCTGTGGTAACTTCAGTATCCATTATAAAAGGTGGTTAGTCAACTCAAACAAATCCGACGATGAAGGGAGATATTGCAAAGACTTCTCCATCACCTATTCCAGATCACGAAAGACTCGTGTCCCGGACGTGACGGTATATCAAACGAATCTCTTCGACCACTTTCTAACCGCCTGATAAATGCTTAGCAAAAATTTTACCCGACTAGGCACATCAAATTGTTCCTCATCATCCAACATCGCCTGATGAGGTACAATTTTTTAAGTTCGGAAACATAGAAATTTTTGTATAGCGATGTAAAATATTTTATAATAAAAATATTACTATAATATACTATATATTACTATATATATATATATATATATATATATACTAGCAGCATGGCCCGGCGTTGCCCGTGATTCAAATATCGTACGACTCATATAGCAATCCGAGTAGGCCTGGGTACCCTACTTCTGTAATTTATCCCAAGAATCTTCTTCTCATAACAGGAAGAAGCCGGCTCAATCCGCCCAGGGTGAATGCCGCATCAGTACAGTATATGTAGCAATCGCTATCACTTGACTTAAAATATTTTTGCCCTTCCTTGCCTTTAAAGGAGTGCCCTTCGCCGTGCTGATGTTGCTACATGCCTTACTTCTTGCCTATCTCTCACTGCGATTTTTTTCTAAGCTCTATACTAAACATTAAATATGTTACGAAAAAAGAACTAAACAAAATGAACACAAAATGATCAGCTTTAAAAAATGACTCGTAACTGGAAAAACCGAATGAAAAAAGAATGTTAACAACAAATACTTTTTCGCACCCAACACCCAGTTCTGAGGAATCAGAATCAACGTTGAGTTTAAGCAAGCGAATGAGACAACTGGAGTAAAGTGCCATGAAGATTTAAATTTTTCTCACTTGTGACGAATGCATCTATCGATTTTTTTGCATGCTAGCATGCTAGTTAACATTCATGTCAGTCAGCTGTTGGCTCCCAAGCTGGCCAATAGAATCTTCCTGCCTATTCGTAGCAGCCAGCTATTGGCTCTCACTCTGGGCAGTACAAATGGTGCCAAACTACATGAAAACTGCCGTAGAAGCATGAAAAAATCGATTATTTCCACTATCGATGGGAGTTGGGAAATGCAAAGTCAGTCTTGGCCTTCCCGCTAACTTGGAGCATGTGCATGTAAATTCTGGTACAAATCCGTCTAAAATTGCGGCCGTGCATTCGTTACACACACATCGTGCCTTTTATAGATAAGGATATATATATATACATATATAAAGATTGATATATATATATATATATATATATATATATATATATATATATATATATATATATATATAGATAGATAGATAGATAGATTCGTATTCAGAACATAAAGGAATTAATGTATTTTATTTTTAATTCGACATTCTTTCTCATTTCTATAAACTTTATTTTTACGGATACTGCGGGGAAATTTGTCCCGGCTTTCCCGCATCAAAGTGTAAAGGTTAGAAATTGGTTTGAGGTTAAAAAATTGCGACAAAACGCGAGTAAAAAACAGCAAGATTAGAGTGGACAAACTCTCTCTTTTAGGCGCGGGCGAATAAAGAAAAAACTCCTGCTCGGTGTGTAACAATAAAAGAAGAAAGTGTTTATTTACATATACAGAAAAAAGGGTAAAGGGTTAAAGACAATTAAGAGTAAAAGAAAAGGGAAAAGAGAAAATGTTTTTTAAGGAAAGAGAAAATGTCCATAACAGAAAAAAGACCTACTCAAAATATTTCTCTCAGCGCCTAAAAAGTTTTTTAAGCGATTACAATTTTGTTATGGTTTAGAAACACTCACAGTTCTTGTAGAGTAGGAATATTGTTGGTAGAAATAAAAATCTTGCAGTTGAGTGAGTTCGTAGGTCGACGACAGAAGTTAAGTGGGCACGACAGAAGGAATGGTGAAGGGATGCTGCTTTCAATTGGTTTTTAGTAATTGGCTGATGGTCTGTCTCTCTAGCCCAACAGGAATGTATTCTTTGGTTGAAAGTGGTTCTGAAGTTGACTGGAGCTCCCTTACAAATGGTGGGCTGAATTCTCACTGCCAAATAGGCGTAGATTCTCCAAATTTATGGGGATTTGGTAGGCTCAGAAGAATAGGGGAATTTTCCCTCCAAAATTGTTAAACAAATTTCCTGGCCCCTTCACTGATCAGAAAATATATTCTTATCTTATCTCTGATAAGAATCAGGGCTCTGTGAGCCGGTTTTGAAAGTAATGAAAACAGGTTGGAGTGAACAAGCTGTGTGGTTTTCCCCAGACTTTATGGCATTATAGAAAGAATAATTTCTTTTTATGTTTTTGTTTTCCAGCTTTCTTGTTAGTCAGAAAATATATTCTTATCTCTAATAAGAACCAAGGCTTTGGGAGCCGGTTTTGAAAGTAAAAAGAGGTTGGAGTGAGGATAGAAACAATAGCGAGAATGTGAACTTGTAAGATATTGTTCTCAAATTAAATTCCAACAATACACGTATTTCAGTAGACGCCATGTTTTTCGGCGGTGGATTTTACTTATTCAATCGACACAAAATGTCTGTTATCTTAATAATATTTTCCACATACAAACACCCACCTTACACACACACGCACACACACACACACACACACACATATATATATATGTGTGTGTGTGTGTGTGTGCGTGTGGATAATTGGATAATTGAATAACAAAATGGCAAACACTCACATGTTACTCGTTTCGTTCCGAGAAAAACTTCTCCACAATAATCCGAAGAATTCCTTTCTGCATAACATCAGAGCATTTTCCCATTCGATATATATATATATATATATATATATATATATATATATATATATATATATAATGTGTATATATATAATGTGTATATATATAATCTTACTCACCATTCTTGAAATTTTTCTTGGCTTGACACAAATAGTTTTATCTGTTATACAGACACTGACATTTGAATCTCCTTCAAAATTATTTATTGCAAGGGTTAAACATGCATAGACTGAGATAGTTGGCATTAGAGTAAGATATTTTTAGCATTAGACTGTGATAGATAGATAGATAGATAGATAGATAGATAGATAGATAGATAGATAGATAGATAGTATTAGACTGAGATAGATATATAAAGAGATATATCATTA